CTTATTTTGAAGAATCCTGACATAGTTGAGGTACTGGAGATGACCTCAAAGCCACTAATTAATATTTCAGAATGTTAATGGCATAGCGTTAAGAAGAAAGTGGTTTACTAAAGGAATGGCAGCAATCACTCAGTAACTGAAGATGGACCACAACTCTGCTATAAATGTGAATTTTGATACTACATTAACATCTCTACTTCTGCACCCTCAGTATCCATCAGAAAGAGAAATCCTTGAATTCCTAAAATTTGGCACACTTCTTATCCTAGAGAAGATTTAAAAAGTGGGGGAAACAAATTTAAATCTGAGAAAGAAGGGATATGAAGTTTCAGTGACTTTAGGATTGGCAGGATTTGAGCACTGTATTATAAAAATTTAGTGGCCTTTTTTAGTTATATCCCCACACCACGGTGGTAACTGACTGCAAGCATGGGAAATGCAGTAAACCTTAAATCTTGAGACACAGTATACTGGCCTGTGGTATAATTCAACTAGAACATAAGTGCTCCATGTGGGAATTGTGCATGCCCAGTGCAGGCTGAATCTTCAAGAAAGTATGTTTAATAATTACAGCCTTCAGAGAATTAGTACTTTTTTAGAGGTCTTATTTAAGTGAAATTTTGAATGCAGACTGACAATCTAATTCAGATGCTTGCTTCAGGATGATTAATTTTCAGACAAATTATTGAACATTTGTCAAATTCTAGAAAGAATTAAAGAAATTTGAAATGCTGGGGAATGCAATTTGCAGGAATTTCAATGCTGACAGTCCTAAGAGTACATAAAGAGTTTGCTTTTCTGATCTAATGCATTTGATGACTATCATGCTATCATGCATGTGTTCACTTTGACTAAAACTCTTAATAGTCTCTCTTTTTTTTTTTTCTTTAGAGTGTAGGGATGTGGGTGATGGGGTCATGGAAGTGTGTGTGTTTTCCTCTAGGTCCTGGAGTCCTCAACTGAGATTGTATTTTTTGTACTTGATGTACTGTAAAAGAAGATGATCACTAGTTCAAAGACCTGATGAGAGATGTGCATGATCTATCATCTTTCTCAGTCTACAGAGTGTAGAGAGGAACAATCCATAAAAATGGCACGTTCACATACCTGCTTAGTTGTGAAAGTGGTCTCAGTTCTCCCAAGATCTAGTGCATAGCTTTCACATCAGGACTCTTCTTCCTCCCACAATTGCTTTCAGTCCTTTGTGAGAAATCCTCAAAATAAGGCTCTTCAAATGACAGGGATTTTCAGACAATCCACGATGTCATCAGAAAGAAAGCAAGCTTCCCATGATTTTGTGTAAGTCATGTCACTTCAGGATTAAACTTTCCTGGGTAATTCCATCATTAGCCAGATTAAAATCAACATATTAAAAATGTCATTGCAATTCTATTTTTAAAAAACTTCTTGTGTTTTTGGCTTGCAATATCAATAGCATGTCTTGGCTGTGTTATATTGGTCTTGCAGAAGCCCATTATAGAATTCTGGGAAAAGGTTAAGAGGCTATAAAAGATTGTTTTTGAGGACATAAAGATCATTACTTGTTTTTATAAACACTTCTAGATTTAAACCAATCTAAATCCAACTGCTAGGTCATGGAAAACAGTTCCTTCATGGTAGAAGAATCAAGAAAAATGTTTAAAGGGGGGAGTGAGAGTGAGTGTGTTTGGGTGAATTGATTGGAGATTTTCTGAGGTCGTGCAGTGCAAGGATTATGAGCAGGACAGGATATTGGAAGGCCATGAGAAAATGATGTAGCGATAGCCTGTCTTGAGAGAGTGAAACATAATTGAGAGTGCTTGCATCTGCTGAAGATCTAAAGAGATTGTAAAGGGAAGACCAAACTTTTTTTTTTTTTTTTTTTTTTTTTTTTTTTTTTTTTTTCCCTGTTCCTTTTGAACCTCATTCTTTTGAGACCATTTTTAGAAAGTTTAGTCATGCTGTGACGTGGACAGTAATTTCCTGGGAGTTCTGGGACTTTCTGGGTGTTGCAACCTTACATGTTTGTTATGAAAGTATTTTATTTATGAAGCATCTTAGAGTAGTCAAGTCAGTTCTGGTTTTGAGCCAAATCTACCCTCTTCTCCTTGTGAAACTACTCTTGCAATATTAGGTCACTTTCTCCTCAAGTATTCTTTGTGATGATCATGACTTGTCTGTTACAGAACAAATAGCTTATATTTTACTGGATGGAATTTTGAAGAAGTTGCAGAAGAAACATATCATGATTGAAAGTTTTTCACTGTAACTGTGTACAAATGTGTTATACATTTTAAATGCTCATGTTTTTATATAGGAGGAAAAGGAAAAAAAAAAGTTCATATACTTTTAAGGAGAAGCTCTACGCTCAAACCACTAGGAAAGAATCAGTTTCAGAGATACAAACTCTTTTAATAGTCCTATGTGTATTTATATATATATATATATTTAATATATATATGTGTATTTATATGCATGTATTTGTATATATTTTTATATATCTCACACACGTTGTGTTCTTAGGAATCATCATGGGGAAAATAAATGTTTATTACAGAATGTGATTAATTAATGTTAAAAAGTGTTATATACAAGTTAAATCACCAGAAAACTTTTCTTCCCAACTATCTGCAAGGTACCTGCTGTTTGCATTTACTGCAGCAAGTACCCTTTAGTTTTCAAAGCAAATATCTGCTGTGTTTTATGATATAATAATAAATTGTACTCAAATGTACTGTGAGTGGATACAGAATATTTTAGTGAAATTTGTCTCAGATCCAAAGTTTCATACAGGGTAGACAACATTTTTGAATCATAGAACAGTTTAGTCTCAATGGGGTTTCACCAGGTAATCTGAACCATCTCGCTACTGGAAATAGGGCCAGCTGGATTAGTCACTTAATCAGAGAATTAGAAACTTATAAAAGCAGTATAATTTTGTTTCTAACTTATTAAAATGCTTTGAGAGAGCTCGAAGATAAGGAAATGAAAAAAAGTGGTGTCTTGATAGGGTAACAGCTTATCATCAGTTAAATGTTAAATCAGTCAAATCCTTAGTTAAACCTTCAGTGCAGATCTTCTACATGACCAGAAAATTTCCAATTTTGAGTGAAGTGGATTTGTCAGCTAATTTTTGCTACAGAGACAAAAGCTAATTTTTCAGAATGGAAATGCTAATGCTGTTTTTTGAACCCTCCTGACATCTATAGGAATTATGTCTTACACATCTAAATCTAATTTTCTTCACAGTTCCAATGGTATAAATGTTTTAAATTTTATTTAAAATCTACTTGGTCGTATATTTTTAATTGTCTGTGTTTCTTTGCAGTGGTGACTGTAGAGTATAGAATCTGTCTGTTGAAGCAGATGTAGAAAGATGTAGAAACAATGCCATTCAGTGCTGTGGATTTTTGAGGAAATGACATATTGCTAAAATCATCCGCTAGTGAAGCAGAAATTCTGTGTGGAATTTTCTTCTGAGGACAGTTATTCCCTCCCCTCACATGTAGTAACGTTTTCTTAGCAAATTAGAAGTGTGGAATTTTTTGAAGGCTGAGTTTTTCACTCTTTAAAATGTAGGCTCAAATTCTAATACTGGACTTGTTGCTTCCATCAAAGTTTGAAGTGTTTTTTCCTTAGAAAGCTGTCAAAGGACTGCGTCTTTATCTAGCTGCAAATGCACTTGAGTTCTGTTAGAAGAAGCTGGTACTGTGCTTGCATACAACTTCTGAAATACTGCTCGAAAATATTCTTAGTGAGTTGTTTTCATCCTTGTTTCAGACTTACGAAAATGTGTTCATTACAGCACAAGAAGCAGGAAAGACTGCTTGTCAGGCAAAGAAGGAAATCTCAAGCAAGACTTGGAGGATTGCTTGTACTGCTGGTTTTTTTCATTGCAAATCATTTGCATTGTGGTACCAAGAATTTTTAGCTTGCGTTAGAAACAGCTGTATGCCTGCCTTTCTGTTTGCACAGTCAGATTGGACTTGTAAGGTTTCAGTATTACAAATTTCATCTGGTTTGTTTATTATAACACAGCTGGGCTTCTCAAGGCCGTTGAAATTACGGCAAGCAGTGGAATGGTATGCTGCTTTTCACAGCTTCATGCTGTATTTCACAGGCGCTTTTAAGTTGCACTATTTACAGATTTTTTTATTTTTATTTTTTATTTTTTTTTGAGGTATGGATGCAAGAACAGATAGATGTTTGTTTATTTGCATAAGGGGAGTTAGTCACTTTCTGGAGCCAAAACCTCAGGGGTGGGCGCTGCTTGGCCTCAGTGACTTTAAACTGTCCTAGCAATGTGAAAAAGCTGTTTGTCTGAATTTGCTTTTTATTTTGATATGCTACGTCTTCTGTTGTCGTTGTTTTTGTTTTAAAGATGCTGACTGCAATAGAGCACAAAACATGCTATAATTGTCAGCACCAAGTTAGTAAACATACAGGACTCTCCTTTACAGAAAAAATAAAGGACTCGGCAGAGATTAGATACCAGTTGGAAAATTTACCTTTCTTCCTCCTTCCCCAGGCTCAAATTTAGCCTAACACCTTTCCTCTCCCTTTCCTAATTTCAACTTCTCATTTTCCTTATGGGTTACACTTAGTCCTCCATTGGGGTGAGGAATGGTGCAGGGGCCTGGGTTCGTGCATGTAGATTTTGGCCTGCTCTCCTTGTTGGCCTCTCTTCTCCTTGTTGATCTGCTGTTTTTGCTCTTTTGTTTTGTTTTGTATCCATGCTCTTGTGCAGCTCCTCAGAACTGTCCCCTGTCTTGGGTGTCAGCTGGAGAGCTCCTCCCTGGCCAGTGCTCCAGGCCCTGGCTAAGGGAGTCCCATCATTTTGACACAGTGTGGGTTGCATCTCATGCATGCTGTTGAAGACCATTCATTTTATATGACAATTAACAATGTTCAGTGAACATAGGGAATGGCTTCTCAACCTAGTTAGAGACTTGTCTGCAAATAAAAGTGGCCTGACTTCTATTCCTTACCCTGGCTAATATTTATTTTACTTTACTTTGCAGATTAAAAGATCTTTAGCAGTGGAGGCTGAAAGAGGCTTGGCTGAGTGACAACTGAAAGGATACCTGAAAGGTAGGAGACCATCATCCAAATCTTTGCAGTGAATTCAGACATGAGTGATTTCAGCTCAAATCCTCCAGTTCCCATGCCAATGCTTTCTAATCCAGCTAGTTAACAAAATGCTATTGGCAACCACTGTGACTGTTTGGTTGCTGATTTTGAGGAGATGTCTAGTGGAAGTATCCATTGCCTAGCCCAGAACATTTGTGGAATGCCAACATCATGAGAATAGAAATATGTGGGTAAATTTCGTGCCAAGAAATTTGCCAGTGTTTTCAGGCAAAAACGAGGTGAATGGCTACTTCGAATGTTCTGAGATGCACTGTTGGCTGCAAAGGTTTTAAATCCTGTTCTAAGGACTGATGGGTAGGAGTTTACGTATGGGACTCATTTAATATTTTTTAATATAATTTTTTAAAAAATAAAGTACAAAGGACTATGAAAGAGTAGAGTCCTTTTGAGAACGCTTGCAAGCTACTCATGGTCTCAGATAGTTTTTGATTAAAAGAGCCTCTTGATATCCCTATTTTTTGGTAAGATATTGCATCAGACCTAAAAGATGAAAAGTTGCTGAAGGTATAATTTATGTCACTTTATCTAAAAATATCTGGCAAAGGCTTTTGTGTGGGGATGAGTATGTTCTGAGGAACTGCTTTGCATTTATTAGTTTTTCCATCTTGTAACTTTGAAAAATGATAAAATATCAGTGTGATTGTTCAGAACATTGTGATAGCTGCAGTTCGATGTGCTGAGGGCACAAACACAACTCCTGTCTGTTGAGGTGACAGAGACAGGGCAAGTTTGTGATCTCTTTCTGATATTTTGTAGTGAATGCACATCTATATTTTCAAGTTGTTTGTTAGAATGCTTATTACTCTTTTTTCTGATGACCACACAGAGGCACATCTCTTTTCTCCTTGGACAGAATATACTAGTTCTGATCGAGTTACATTTAAAGAATATGTTAATTTTCAACCACTCACGTAAAAATAGTACTCTATCTTGGGTACGCCTTGTTATTCTTACAGTAGATACATATTTTGTCAAGGTAGTTGTAACCCCATGTTCAGATCTTTCTTTGAATGTGAATGAATTTTGCAAAATGCTGAAGACTGCTACTGGTGAAACTTAGTTTTAACACACCTACTTAACTCTGCTGATATTTATAGGACTACTTATGTAATTAAGATTGAGCATGTGATCCAGTTTGCTACACTCAGGCCAAAATGCTTGGTGCTTTGCATCTTGACTTATTAAGCATGGATAATACAAGTTTTAAATCTTAATTTAATGATTATCTGGACAAGGCAAGATTCCTATCTGGTAATGCAGTCTGCTTGTGATTTTCTGTTCAGATTCCAGTGTAATGTTTGCTTGTGTATAGGCAGAAGTGCATCAGGGCCACTTGCATAGCAATAAAGAAGGGCCACCCACATCATAGGATAATGCCTTAACAGTGGACTTAACTAACAAATTTAACTGATTTTTAGAAAAATCCTTAGGGTATATAATGTATAAGTGCATACGTCTGATACCTAGCACTGACTCGTGTTTAGTTATTAATACCATCTTGGAGATAAGGTATTTGACAAGAACAAGCTTTTATGAGTGCTGAAACTAAGATGGTTATATAATACTAGTAATAGCAAACAACTTTTTCAAAGCCTCATGGAAACCATTCAGGAGGGGGAACTAGATGCCAACTTCATTATCACCTATAAGGAAGCAAACAATGGAGCTTTGTAGGCTCACAGGCTGTGTTTGAAACAGGAATTTTAAGAGCCAGCAGGTAAAGTCAATCATTCCAATGCCCGTCAGATCAGTATGTCTGTTAACAAAGCAATTGAATGCATTTTGAATGCTAGTTAAAATTTATTCAAGGTATGTTTATGGGCTGAACATAGGAGGATGCAGTGGGCCAGGCAGTAAAGTAATAGTGGCCATATTAAAATTGTCTTAACCACCGATCTCAGGTCATTTTACCATGGAAGTAAGTGTTCTTGTGTGTGTTTTACAGACCTGGAAATGAAGAATTTAAGAGTTGCAATCAAAAGGAACAGGAACATTTTAAGCTAAGAAAAGAAAGTGCTAGAGAGAGGGAGGTGAAGTGCTAGAAATGGTTTTTGATTGCTGTGTTTTTATGGGTAAAATATTCTCATGAACCTAGCGTTGAGTAACTACTGATGTTGCAGTTTACCAAGCTGACAATTTTTTTCATAAACTAACAAGCACTGGTGAGAATTTATTCCTACATTTCTCTTCAGCAGTTCTAAGATCTTTCTTTTTTTCTTTTTTTTTTTTTCCTTCCCCTGGATCAAGTCATTGAGAAACTGAGAACAAAATCAATTAACAGTATCAGTTAACAAGGATTTTCCTTTGTGCAGTTACATCCAATGCTTAAATAACAAAATAACAGTGGGAAGAGGCTGATCTTGTGAGGAGTCTATATGATCCAAAATTGGTTATGTAGAAGCCCAGCCTTGACAAAGAGCCTTCTCAAAAAGATTTTCAGTGCCATTTAAAGAAATCTCAAGAGAAGAGGAGTTCTGGTCAGTGATAAAGTGCTAAATCATATTAATTCTGATTCCAATCTTACTTCAGAATTGCATTAACAGTAGTTTTCTACTCTGGAGTACAACATTTAGAAAGTTTTGTACACTCTGGTACACTTTATAAATGCAGAACTTTTCAAAAAGATGATGTGGAAGAAAATGTGTTAGATCATCACGTCTTCACTTTTACTCTGTACAATTGCAGGTGAAATAAGTTCCTTTTGATTTAAGAATGCAGACAACTTTTATTCAAACTGAAACCATAATTTGGTGAAGAAGTTAGAATTACAGTGTTTGGTCTCTTCAGTGGAATAATTTCTTTTATGTGCTTCCTTAAAGAGGACAGACAGAGCACTACTGAATAATACCTCTGCTGCTCTATAGGCAGTTCTGCCCAGAAGGAGCTCAGTGTTTCCTCCTGGGACAAGCTTTCATCTTGAATGTATTTCCTGACTGCAGTTGGCTTTTACTATTCAATCCAAGCAGATTGCATTCAATAAAAGTTGTTCAAAGGTGTTGCCAAGGAAAAAGGATCCAGCCTGCTAAACTTTTACAGATGCACTGAAATCCACGTGCATCCCTCAGATGTTGCATTGTTGGCAGTTATGTGTAATAAACCACCAGATTGTCCTGTGGTAATGAGATTCCAGTTTAATTCTTTTTCTACTCATTAAAATGAATAGTAGGGGCACTATTCCTATACTGCTCCACTGACTCTAAGTTGAATCTAGTTGTGGCAACTGATACCACTCTGCTAGTAAGATATTCTCCTCCTCTTTACAGAGGTGAAAATGTAACTAGAAGAATTTTTAGTTTGTAGCAGGCGCTATACCACTATTACATGATAAAACCAGAGGCAGAATTTGTTACCTTGACTTATGGTTCTGTGTGCTCGTGTAGCTGTTCATCAGTAGCACTTTCACAAAACAAAAGAGCAGGGAAACCTTTGGGTGGGATTGTTCATTCATTTTGAGTGTTTTCCCGCGGAGATTCTGCCATATCAACTATATGACTTGTCAGGCTTTAAAACACCGTGGTGTAAGGGAATTTCCATTACTTTTTTTTTTCCTGGTTATTTCACTTCCTCTGGTTCTCCAGGGAAATTATTTTCTTTAAAGCTCCCAGTATGAGAGAAGAACCCTAGGTGGCAGATTGTTGTAATAGCTTTCTTTTACTTGACACAACTTCACACATGACAAAGTTTGAATATGTTTGCTGTATTGCAACTCTTGGACACTATGAAATTTGGAAGGCAGTTTGCTAACAGGACTTTGAAATTAGCAGGTCTTAGTTCATGCAGACATCTGATTAAAAAAAAAAAGCAAACAACATAGTTGTTAAATGGTTCTAAAATAGTCTATTCTAATTTTAAAAATGAATTCTGATTTGATAAGTTTTGTCTGAAGCAAGAGGTGGAATTCAGTGGACCTAACTTTTTGTCTGCATTGTAGTTATTGATATCTGAGTTAGTTATGGCAAAAGCTGTTACTGAAGTTTAGCAAGCAATTTATGTGACTGTCTGCAACTCAAAAAACCCCAGAATGTTTAGGTGTTTTAACACGAACATGTTAAATCAGTACTTATTTAAAGGAATCATAAAACTTTTTCTTCTTCAGAAACATTTATATGGAATCATATGAAAGGAGATGAACTCATTGTTATTTCAAACACATCAGTTTCGTATTTCCTGGATAACTAGCAATCTGGAGGATTTCAAAACTTACTTGCGTATTTCAAAAGATCCACAAGTCTTTTCAAAACCAATATTTTTATGTAGGATCATCCTCTAAAAATTTAGTGTATATGTCCGATCTTTGAAGACACCTTTTACAGAACACTGGCTGAAATGCTGATTGTGTAATCAAGCTGGGATTTGATTTGTTTTTCTTCTGTTAGTCATGGATGCATTAAGAATGAATTAGCATGGTTTGTGATGACAGATTTAATATGTTGTTGTCCTCCTGCTTATTGACAGAGTTCTGTCTGTGTATGTTTACATGCACACATGCTTGCTAGAATTTCAAAAGCTATGAAGTGCAGATTTTTCATGGTAAGGAGTCAGGAGTGTTTCTATCAAAGACGGATTACATTTGTCTTTGGTTGTCAGTTTTTCTTTAGTCACTAAAATAAAATTAACTCTAAAATGCTTCATTTCAATTCAGACTTTGGGTGTAGGTTCTTAGACCTCTTTCTATGAAATCTAGATGCATCAAACAAAATTTTGGTATTCTCCCTGGAGTTTACCACATAAACTGTTTTCCATACTTAACCATAAAAGATGAAAAGGTTTTTTTTCTTTGGAAAAAAAAAAAAAAGGCAACTTCTGAAAACTTCCTGCTGGAAATGAGGGAAAAAGATACCTGATTACCTCACTGTAGTCAGGGAGGTAACACTTTTCTGCTGTGTGTGTCATCCTTTGAGCCAAGCAGCCAAGGTTGTCCTAGTGTAAATAGTGTCGTA